CTTTGAATCTGGAAGAAGATGAGAATGACCTGGTGGATTTAGGAGGATCGAAAGACTCAGATTCCCATGAACAATTGGAGTTGATGCTGGTTAGAAAACTCTTGACTAATCGACCCGTTGAGGCGTTTAAGAGGACTATGACCAGAGTTTGGGCTCTGGCGAACGGTATGTTGATTCGTGTAATTGGCCCTAATCTTTGCGCTTTTCAATTCTTTCACTTGAAGGACAAAGAAAAGGTTTTGAAGGGGCGACCATCACAACTAGAAATAGGCCGATTTCTGACAGACGGTTTCCGACTGTCACGTATTTCCGTCGGAAAAATCAGAAATTCCGACGGATTTTTATTCCGTAGGAAAATTCCGACAGAGTATAAATCCGTCGGAATATATGGGCTTTCCGACGGAATATTCCGTCGGAATAAAAATTTCCAACAGAATATTCCGTCGGAAAACCCATATACTACGACGAATTTATATTTCGTTGGAATATTTGTACTTTCTGACGGAATATTCCGTCGGAAAAGGTCAAATTCCGTCGGAATATAACTTAAAAAAAAAAAGAAAAAAAAATGAAATTTGTTTAACAAACCCTAACCCTTTTCTCTCTCCTGCGCCCCTTTTCTTTTTTCCCTCCTTTCTCTCTCCTGCCCTTCTTTCCTCTCCTGTGCCCCTCCTCTCTTCTCTTTCTCTCTCCTGCGCCCCTCCTTCTTTCCTCTCTTCCTCTATTTTCTTCTCTTCTGTCCGCCTCTTTCTTCTCCTTCTTTCCTCTATTTTCTTTACCTTCTTTCTTATCTTCTCTGTCCGCCATCACCAACCACCAATTTTCATTGACAACAACAACAACAACAACGACTGACAACCACCGTCAACAACAACAACCACAACCATCGTTGACAACCACAACTACCGTCAACAACAACAACCACAACCATCGTTGACAACCACAACGACCGACAACCAACATCAACACCAACAATAACGGTGTAACAACCACCGTCACCCACTCTCAAGGTTTTTGTTTTGTAGATCTTGTTTTAATTTAGGTTAGATTGTAGATCTAGTAAATTTTTTATGTAATTGTAATGTTAATTATAAATTTGATTAGATAATTGTATTTCCTTTAATTTTTGTTGTTTAATTATCGTTTTTTTTATAATTGTTTTATGAAATTCCAATTAAATATGTAGATCTACTGATTTTGATATGAATTTGTGGTACTTTTTGATTTTGTTGTGTTAATTTTCGTATTTTTGGCCAAATTTATGTTTTTTTGGGGTTAATTTTCGATTTTTTGGGGTAAAATTTTGGTGTGGTGGTGTCGGTGGTGGTGTGTGAGGGTGGGATAGGGGCTGGTGTGGGTGGTGTCGTCCGTGGTGGTTGGTGGATTTGGTTTAATTTTCGATTAGGCTTACGGTTGGTGGTTTCTTGTGGGTTAGAGTTAGGTGGGTTAAGGGTTACGGTGGTGGGTCTGGTGGGTTAGGTTTGGTGGGTTACGGTGGTGTGTCTGGTGGGTTAGGGTGAGGTGGGTTTTTTTTAATTTTTTTTTTTAGCATTTTCCGACGAAAATTTTCGTCGGAAACCTCTCCAAGTCCGACAAAAATTTCCGTCGGAAAATTGCGACGGAATTTCAATTAAAGTAAAAAAAAAACGCGAACAGAAATAAATCCGTCGGAAACTAGCCTTCCGTCCGAAAAGGTCGAATTTCCTACAAAGGGTTTTGCGACAGACTGATTCCGACGGAAGACCATTTTCCGACGGAATTTCCGATGTTTCCTACGGATTTTTTTCGTCGGAATCAAGCTGTTTTCTTGTAGTGCATGGTGTTGGGAGAATAATCTGTTAGTACTAAAAGAAGTTGCGGGAGATGAATAGCCTGAGAATGTTTGTCTCGATTTTTCCCCTTTCTGGATTAGGGTTTGCAAATTACCATTCAATTGCAGATCTGATGATGATATTAAAGCCCTAACTGTGAATATGGGGGAATTTATGGAGTTGGAGAGTGACGTTTTGGGACTTGACATATATCGTCGCGTGAGAATTATGGTGGATATTCGAAAACCGATTCGACGGTATCAATGGATGAAAGATAAAGCTGGAAATAAAATCAAGATTGAGTTCAAATATGAGCGTCTTCCGTATTTCTGCTTTGCTTGTGGTGTGATGGGGCATTCGGAGAAAGATTGTGATACGGTGCCGGAAGAAGATAAGCAAAAGAAGATGGGGTGGGGCTTGTTTCTACGAGCATCACCAAGAAGAGGCTATTCTAAGGAGGTGGAGGAAGTGGTGTTGATCACTTCATCGAGGAAGCAACTTTTTGTTACAAGAGAGAAGGATGATGTGAGTAGAATTGTAGAAAAGTTGCAGTGAGAGGAGGGGGATCATGTAGTTTGTTTGAAAGAGAAGGAGGTTGAAGGAGACGAAAAAAGAACAGAGGATGAGCAAGGATTGGAAGAGCAGGGCAACCAATCTGAACTTGCTATTGTTATGGGGACTACTAGTGGTCCCATAGACAAACCTGACGTTGGGAAGGGTAGTGAAATAGGGGAAGTGGAAGGTGTGCAAGCTACTGCTCCGAATTTTACTTTTGGCTCGCAATTAGTGAAGGGGGTTAGGAAGACTTGGAAGAGGCAAGAGAGATCGCTGCCACAGAGTATGGATATGGATGATGATGGTGTAGGGGGGAGGCTGGAGGGGAAGAAGAGAAGTGGGAAGGTCTATGAGTTAAAGGAGGTGGATGGAGAGAAAGAGGAGTAAGACTAAACTTCGTGCTCTAGTGGCGCAATCTGTAATGACGGAAGTTGGTGGAGACCAACCCCGTCAATCATCATGAGTTTATTATGCTGGAACTGTCGGGGGTTGGGCAACCCCGAGACAGTTCGTAGGCTCCGTAAATGGAGCAATTTGATTGCCCCTGATCTAGTTTTTGTCTCGGAAACTATGATCAGTAAGGTTACGGTGGAAAAGATCAAAGATAGAATTGGTTACTCCAATGCTTTCGGGGTGGTAAGCCGAGGTAAATCTGGGGGTTTGTGTGTGTTTTGGAGTCAGAATACTGTTGATTTCACGTTAGTTTCTTTTTCCCAAAACCATATTTGCGGGGATGTGAAGAAAGATGTTGTAGTGTGGAGATTTGTTGGATTATATGGGTGGCCGGATGCGGGAAATAAATATCGGACTTGGAGTTTGATCGAGCACCTATGCGGAGAAGCTCCAACAGGGTCGATTATTTTTGGTGGTGATTTTAACGAGTTGCTTTCTTATGAAGAGAAGGAGGGAGGTGTGGATCGTGAAAGGGGGGAGATAGCTAAGTTTCGAGAAACTCTGGATGTTTGTGAGCTTCGTGACTTGGGTTTTGAGGGTAGATGGTGGACGTGGGAGAAGGGGAATAATGTTGAAACCCGAGTAAGAGAACAGCTGGACAGATTTTTAGCTTCTCCGTCTTGGGTACACTTGTATCCTCAAGCTCATGTTGAGGCATTTGTTGAGGTACACTTCAGACTACTCCCCTATAGTGGTTCGTTTGCAGCCAGAACCAAAGAAGAAGAGCTAGTAGCAAAAGAAGTTTAAGTTCGAAACGGCCTGGTTACTTGATGGGTCTTGCGAGGAGGTAATTAGGAAGTCTTGGGTAGTAGCAAGTTCTTTTGATATGGTGGGAAAGTTGAGGATGATGGGGAGGGATTTGATGGTATGGAGCAAGAAGAAGTTTGATGATCTCAGGCAAAAAATTGAGAAAGCTAAGGCTAGTCTTCATGAGGTTTAGCAGCAACCTATCACCCACGACACTTGTGTCAGATGCACAGAATTGGAAAAGACTCTAGACGACCTCCATTCGAAGCATGAAGCATATTGGTACTTGCGCTCCCGCGTGCTAGAAGTGAGGGATGGTGATCGTAACACTTTAACTTCCATCACAAGGCTTCACAAAGAAAAAAGAAAAATAGAATAAAAGGGTTATTTGATGCAGAAGGTGAATGGAAGGTGGATGAGAAAGATCTTGAGAAAATAGTTTCCTAGTACTACTCAACTCTTTTTACTTCTTCGAAACCCGAGGAGTTAGATATTCATGAAGTGCTACAAAACTTGAAGTCTGTAATCTCAAAGACAAATAATAGGGAGCTGCTCCGCCCTTATACTAAAGACGAAATTTTCTCAGCGCTTCAGCAAATGCACCCTTGCAAGGCTCCGGGCCCGGACGGTATGCATGCCATTTTTTATCAGAAATTTTGGCACATAGTAGGAGATGATGTTTTTTCTTATGTGAGTAGTATTTTACATGGTTTGATTTCTCCGAGCTCTGTAAATAATACCAATATTTCACTGATCCCGAAAGTGAATTCTCCTACTCTGATGACAGAATTTAGGCCTATTAGCTTGTGCAATGTTTTGTATAAGCTGGTGTCCAAGGCCATTGTGTTGAGATTGAAGCATATTTTACCTTGGAAATGCTCTTATTGCCCTGGAAATTTTGTGCCGAGGAGATTAATCACTGATAATGCTCTTATTGCCCTGGAAATTTTTCATACTATGAAACAGAGGAGCCGGAGTAGAAGGGGTACTATTTCTTTGAAACTTGACATGAGTAAAGCTTATGATCGAGTTGAGTGGGGATTTTTGCGAAAACTTCTTCTTACGATGGGGTTTGATGGTAGGTGGGTGAATTTGATCAGGGAATGTGTGATGACTGTGTCGTACTTTTTTATTGTGAATGGAACTATGGAAGAGTATGTGGTTCGGTGACCCCTTCTCGGGGATTACGGCAGGGGGATCCTCTATCCCCCTATCTTTTCATTCTAGTAGCGGATGCTTTTTCTCACATGCTTAATAAGAAATTTATAGAGAAGGAAATTCATGGAGCACGAGCTAGTATAAGTGGGCCTGTCATTTCTCATCTTTTGTGCGCAGACGATAGTCTGCTATTTGCTAGAGCCAACCGGCGAGAGTGCGAAGTTATAGTTGATATTCTCAACAAATATGAAGTAGCATCAGGGTAGAAAATAAATTATGAAAAATCAGAGGTTTCCTTTAGCAAGGGTGTTAGCATTGAGCAGAAGGGGGGTTCTAATGGGTGTGTTGAACATGAGACAAGTGGATAGGTACGAAAAGTACTTAGGGATTCCAACTGTTGCAGGGAGGTCAAAAAAGGCTATTTTCATTGCTCTCACTGATCGTATTTGGAAAAAGTTGCAGGGGTGGAAGGAAAAGTTGCTTTCTAGGACTGGGAAAGAGGTTCTCCTCAAGTCTGTTATTCAAGCCATTCCGACGTATCTTACGGGGGTTTATAAATTCTCGATTTCTGTGATCCAAAATATTAGATCGCTTGTGGCTCGTTTCTTTTGGGGACAGAAAGAACTTCAACGAAAGATTCATTGGAAATCCCGGGACACTATGTGTGCTCCTAAGTGTTTAGGGGGTATGGGATTCAAAGATCTTGAGATTTTCAATGATGCTCTATTAGGGAAGCAAGCATGGCGGTTGATTCACAAAGAAGAGTCACTTTTGAGTAGAGTTATGAAAGCAAAGTACTACCCAAAAATCGTCATTCTTGGACTCCTATTTGGGATTTGGAGGAAGTTATTCTTGGGGGAGAGTTTGGAGTAATAAATCCTTAGTTAAGGAGGGTATAATATGGCATGTTGGTGACGGTATGAAGGTCAATATTTGGAGTGATCCATGGGTTGCCGATGAAGAAGGGTGCTTCATAACTAGTGCTAGAGTTCGTGGCTTTTCTCAGGTGTGCGACTTAATTGATATGCAGCGAATGGAGTGGAAGGAGGAGGTGTTAGCTTCTGTTTTTAATGAGCGCGATCAAAATTGTATTTTTTCTATCCCGCTGAGTTCAAGAGTGCCTCAAGATATGCTCACTTGGGCGTTTTCGAAGGATGGTTTATATTCAACAAAAACAGCCTATATGTTGGGGAAGGGCTATAATTTTGATAATTTTCACCAAGCGTGGGTGGAAATCTGGATTATGGAAGCTTCCCCAAAAGTGCGGCATTTCTTTTGGAGGTTATGTAATCACACACTACCAACGAAAGCCTTACTCAAGCAAAGACACTTACTTGAGGTGGCTGACTGCCCGTGGTGTGGGTATGAAGATGAGACAAGTGCAGACGCTATTTTTTTATTGTGAAAGGGTGCGGAGCTGTGGGAGGAGAGTGGGTGTGAGGCCTCATTGAGAGACATAAGTGGCAGTTTCTATGACCCGCTGGAGCGATGGAAGAGCAAGGATGCAAAGCTAGTCCAACGGGCAGTGTATCTAGCGTGGATTATATGGTCAGAAAGGAATCGAAAGGTATTTGACGTACTGATCACTCCAAACAAAATACTTGTTGATAGAATAAGAAGGCTGGTGGATGAGTTTAGAGCTTATAGCAAGAAGATTTACGGGGTTACAGGCAAGAAAGAGAGCAGCAACCTGAATAGATGGATAGCACCAAGAACAGGCTTTGTGAAGCTAAATTCTGATGCGAGCTTGGTGGAGGAGGGTTGGGTGGGTCTTGGGGTCGTGGCTCGAAATAGCAAGGGTGAGGTGTTATTATATGTTGTGCGAAGGGTGCGAGCGAGATGGCCCCCTGAGATTGCTGAGGCCAAGGCTTTAGCCATGGTTGTCAAGCTTGCGAAAGCTTATGGGTTTGCTGATGTTGTGCTTGAGTCGGATTGCCAAGTCCTCGTCAATCGTTTATCAAAGGCTGCAGTTTACTTCTCAGATCTTGATGGAGTGATTGAAGATATTTTAAACTTGAGTGGTGCTTTTAATTCCTTTTCTTGGTCTCATGTAAAACGTGGTTGGAACATTGTTGCCCATCACTTAGCTAGACTTTTGCCTTTTGGGGTAGAACAAGTTTGGATTAATCATTGTCCAAATGAGGTTGCTCCCTATGTACTCTCGGACATGTTGTCCATTGATTAATAAATTTGCTTGATGCATTTCACTCAAAAGTTATTCAATCCAATTTTTAAAATTCGGATATCGGGCGGATGGTTATCCATCATGTGTTCTCGTGCTAATGCACGAGATTTATGTTATGTTTTAAAAAATAGTAAAAAAGAAAATTATAAATTCTTTTTTGTTAGTCGATTCGGAGGGGTAATGGAAGTTATCTAGAGGTTATCTACAAAAAAACACAAAATTAAAATATTGAAGTTTTGGAAACTTGTAGTGAAAAGTTAGGGAAAAAAAAAGCACTTAAATTACTGTAAAACTGTAACGTACTCGTACTAATGCAAAGGATATATTATTTAAAGAAAATATATTATAAATGATGGAGTCCCTAAAAAAAAATTACTCGTAAAATTGGGAAGTTAGTAGGATTAGACTTGGTTATTGGGTGGGTTGGGTCAAATTCGGTGCGGGTTGATTGTGGGTCAGACCAAAGAGGGTCATATTTTATAAGGCCAATAGCAGGTCAAGCCAATAATGCACGTCGCAGATTAATAATGAGCGGGCCAACAATATATCAATTAGTGTGACTGTGTGAGTAGTGAACCCAAATTTATCTATGTAATTATTTTAACATCTCTATTTTCTTTATCAATCAAATTGAAAAAATATTTTGGCCATATATTGACCCTAACTGTTGAAAAAAAAAAAAAAAAACTGTAATTATTATATAGGTTTGCTAGTATGGAACTTTTTAAAAATCTTTTATCGCAAATGTTGCGAATAAAAGACCTTTAAAGAGTTTGCAGACCTTGGCCAAGTTTCTCTTATGCTTGTTTATTTACGCGACTCTTCTTCTCCTAATCCCTCGAACATACACTTCTTTCTAGTAGAAATTAATCACTTCAACCTTAAGTATTCTTTGAAATTACTTCCTCCTAAGATTACACATTACTAAACACTACTCACACTGATTGATCAAATCATCCGTAATCCCTGACGACCTAGTCGTCGAAAAGACTACTAAGGATTTGACACAACTATTTAAAGTCATACATCAAGTTCCCTGGAATGTTGTACATGATATGCTTAAATGCTTACCATAACTAGAAACATCAGTTGCTTTTGCACATTGAACTATTAACTATTAAGCCTTTCTCATAGTATTCAGACAAGGAAATCACAGAATTGCTTGTTATTGGACATCCGGCCATGACGTGTCTTACTCTTCCTTTAATGAATCCATGTCTTTCAGCATGAACATCTTCTTAATACAAACTTCAACGATTATAGTGTCGCCTAATAGGTAGCCATTTGAAGAATCATGTGGACTTTCAAGAGAAAAAAAGGCATGGTAGCCCCAAGCTTCATTACTTGCAGTGAGCCATTTAGCAACTGTAATATAATTAAGGAAACTAAATTATGTATTTAGAGGACACTTAACTACAAGTTTAACAGAAAACTCGTAAATTGATCTTACCAAACTTTTGGTGATCTTTTCCATCGCATTGATTCTTCAAGTAAAGAATAAATTTAACATACAGTTTGTTACCATGAGTTAGCTTAGTGTCTAGGTGCAGATACAATGAGAGGCTTTTCCCCTTCTCCTCTTTGTTTCCTCTTGCATATAAGTTCAATTTCCTAAAAATAGTACAAAAAAACAACAATTCTTATGTGTCGTAAATAAACTTCTATGTAAGTAGTAAGAAGTATTTTCATGCGCAATGTTGTCTGAAATGAGTAAGAGGAAACAATAAATTCATGACACAGTTCAAAAGAATTAGAGCATCAGTTTAATAGTTGAACTATGCACATACCAATTTTGACTTAATTTTATACTATTATGTTGTAATGGAGTATATAAGTTACTACGTATTAGGAATGGATGAGAGCTTTGGACTGATGGCGTATTGCTTTTGACATATACTGTTACATTTTTCTGGTGCTATGCTTATATGATTAGTCACGCAATATGAATTTCAGAAATGATCACATACCAAAATTGTACTTTAATTGTCAATTTGCCAAATAATTTACGAAAAAAAAGATACCCAGGAGTGTCGAAACTGCTGCCTCGTAGCACAAGAAGACTACTAAGGATTCAAAATAACAATCTAAAGACATACATTAAGTTGCTTGGAACACACTAAATGCTACCATAACAAGATGCATCAATTGCTTTGCACATTGCACTATTAAACCTTTTCTCATAGAATTTAAGAACAAAGAAATTCCATGCCAGAACTGTACTTCATTGGACGTCTTTAACGCTCCTTACTCCTGTTTGACAGAAGCCATATTATCTTTCAGCAAAATCATCTTCTGAATATGAACTTCAGTGATTATGGTATCGTCTACTTGGTAGCTTTTCGAATTATCATGTAGGTCACAGAGAGAAAGAAAGGTTGAGAAGCCCCAACTGTCTGAGCTTGCAGAATACCAGTTACGACCTGCAATATAATGAAATGCATTCCGGAGCACATTGAGTAAAAGTTAAACCAACACCTTAAACCGGAAAATAGATGTTATATCTTTAGGTAAAGCAACCAGTAAAAGTTATCTTACCAAGTCTGTAGTGGTCTTCTTCTTTGCGTTGATTCTTTAAGTAAAGAAAATATTCAACATACAGTTTGTTACCATGAGTTAGACCAGAATTATTGTCTAGCCGCAGAAATAATGATAGGTGTTTTCCCTTTGCATTAGACTGCCCTCTTGGATGTAAAACCAATTTCCTGGATATATATAGTACAAAGGTGAGGAATGAAAGTATGCAATTTTAATCACGTACACTACTACAGTGAAACTAGTACGGAGTATGTTTTTTTTTTTTTTTTTTGGTTCATATGAGCCACTTAGGGCGGGGATGAGAATTGATCTCAAGATCACCTGAAATCGGGAGGAAAACTCTTACCAACTGAGCTATCCCTCACTCTCCTAGTACGGAGTATGTAGTATATGTCTTGGAATGATGTTGTCTATCATTATAATTCATCCAATAAGTTATTAATTGATCGAAAGCAACCCTACGTGTGCATTGCATTCTTATTTGCAAGGTTGTTTAAAATGAAGATATTAAAGAGAATACATACCATGACCATCCATTAAAACAAAATCTTGGAGAACTTAACCGTTTACTCAATGATTGGAAGCTCTCAATTCTCCAAGTATAGCTCTTGACCGATTTCTCTTCAACAATCGACATAGTAGATATCTTAACCTGCTGGTTGTTTATGACAAGAACCTCGGCACCAAATACACAGCAATCATCAACCAAAAATCCATAATCCGCATCATTGAATGTGGAAATTGGAACAAATTTGGGAACTCCCCATTTATCTTTCAAAGCATGGAATCGCCTCTCTCTTACATCTACATCAAGTTAACAATGCAACTTATTAAGCAGCACACTAAGATACAAGTACTAAGGGGTAGACTCCTTGATTTCTAAGATATTTTCCAGGACTCAAAATATATACATTGAATTGGCTTACTTTAGAAAGAATGTGACAATTAAACTATATAAAATGAGAGAGTCCAAACCTAAGACAGAGAGATAGGCATCCCTTAGGTGATCATGAACAAAAAATCGAAGCACCACATCGACAAGGCTACCAGGTTCGAGTTTATCAACCAATGTCACATAAACTGAGAGATGTTCATCTCCTTGTTCTGGCTCGTTCCGTTTGGGACACACAGATAACATCCTGAGTCAAACGAACATTAACTAGAAACATTCAAACATATCTTATAAAAATTACAAAGGACAATTATTGAGATGTATCACTCACCATGTAAAACCCCCCACGCTAAATTCTGTTGATTCAAGATAGTCTTTGTTCTTTCTAGACACATACGCATCTTGAAGTTCAGAGAATGAATCAATTTTTAGAATGCAATGTGCTGGCGCTTTTTCTGACAGTAATCTCACAACTTCTGCAAAAGAGCATAAGTACATCATTTTACAGGCACTAAGCTAATACTCTGAACAAGTGTCTACATTTTTTAGCCTCAACCTGGCCCGGCCAATGATCACCTCTACTCCAAGAGCATCCCAGGCCTATGTACAATGATTGGTGCTTATATGTATTCAAGGCCCTGTTTTCCATGCACCAAAGAAAGCTAATACTATGATTTTTCAAATAGCCTCAGTTTCACTAAAGCTACTCATGACCGACATCCATAACTTCTTACTCGATTGCAATTTCCGGACATATTTTCATAAACCATTACAAGTTCCTATTAATCTAAAAGTGATCTTACCGAGTTTGTAGTGATCTTCTTCTCCGCGTTGGTTCTTTAAGTAAAGAAATTATTAAACATACAGTTTGCTACCATCAGTTAGCCCAGAACTGGAAAATCAAGTCCGGACCAAAACTAAAATTAAACCTGGTAAACTTTTTTTTTTTCTATGGTAATTGATATTATCGTTTAGCAAAACAACTCCAAAACAGTTCATACTTTCATTTGTAAAAACTAAAACCCTAGCCGACTAGCCGCATCTTTTCACTTCAAGCACTCCTCACTTCCCCTCACTCCCTTAGGCCTCATCCAACCGGAATAATCCCCTCAACAACAGTGCCTAACTATCTCTGATTGCCATTAATAATAATAATAATAATAATAATAATAATAATAATAATAATAATAATAATAATAATAATAATAATAATAATAATAATAATAATAATAATAATAATAATAATAATAATAAAACAAATAATGTTGAATCTGCCTCATAAGACGAGTAGACTACAAATTCAAAAACAATTAAAAGACATGTCAAGTTCCATAGAATACATGCTTGGAACATACTAAAAACATAACAAGACACATCAGTTTCTTAAATTGTAAAATTGCACTACTAAATCTTGTACTCTTGCACAACCAAATCTTGAAACTACAAAATCTTGAAAAACTCCTGCTTCACAGACTCCACATCTTTCAGCAAAATCATCTTCTGAATACAATGAAGAATGATCATAGTATCGTCTACTAAGTAGCCCTTCGAAGAATCATGTAGATCATTGAGAGAAATAAAGTCTTCGTAACCCCAACTGTCAGCACTTGCAGTGGACCAGGACTTGCCTGAAAAATATTTGTAAACTAAATTATTATGTATGTATTTCAGACACTAGCTATAATTTTAACAAGAAATTTATTTATTTGTGATAGAGTCGTGAGAAAGAGTGTGATGGAAAGCTTAATTATATTAATAAATATAGTACAAGATTAAGATTAAAACGTTGAACATATCAAACTATGACTAGATACGATATATGGCTAGGTACGTTAGCTAATTATAAGGGATATACTTTGACTATCAAGTTAAGGAGTAAATCAAGGAATTTACATATTCTAAAATAACTAATAACGATAATCATGATATAATCATCTTTATCCTTTATAATTTGTAAGTTGATCTTACCAGATACTTTGTGTTCTTTTCCTTGGCGTTGATTCTTCAAGCAAAGAAAATCTGTAACAAACAGTTTGTTACCTTGAGTTAGCCTAGAGGTATTGTCTAGTCGCAGATACAATGAGAGGCTTTTCCCCTTCTCCTTCTTATGTCCTCTTGCATACAAAAACAATTGCCTAAAAGCAGTACAGAAAAGATGCATAAGAGAAAAATACAGAGTTACAGTATGGCAGGAGTAAATCAACCAAGTTAGCTTTAATTAGAATGACATGTTTCTGATTTTTTTTAAAAACGTATTTTGGTGTTGTCAAACTTCTTATTAGCATTTTTTGTTGACATTATATTACAATAATTAAAAGGATGACGCTCCCATTACTCAATGTGAGAAACGTTTTTGTTTTCACAGTGACAAATTTGTAAATATTTACAAAATGGATGATAAAATTGTACTACTTTAGTCACGGCGGTATATTTTATTTACGAAACTGTCACTGTGAGAAACAAAAACGTTTCTCACAGTGAGTAACGGAGATTTACTGAATTAAAAGTACTCATAGCAACATATATATATTGCGGAACTACACTAAATTGAAAGTATGATTTTTTGTAAATTTTATGTCTCACATATAATACCTTTTATCGCAAAATTTTCAAGCTTGATATTGTCTAAAATGTGTAAGGGGAAACAATAGATCTATGAGGCAGATCAAAAGCTAAGCTTTTTATATATATATATATACTTCCTCCATTCCTTAATAGATGACACGTTTTTTTTATCACGTTTGTCAACGCAGAATTTATACGAGTTATATCTTCCATTATAAACATTGTAAAATTATAAAAAGTGGATATTAATAAAATAAACATTAAGACGATTCAAACAAGATCCCACGTGATTATGTTTTATCGTAGTTACAAATCACAAAAGCTAATCAAAGTGTTGTTTGTAAATAGTGCAAAAGTCAAACCGTGTCATCTATTAAGAAACGGAGGAAGTATATACATACAACATACAACATACCATGACCATCCATCAAAGCAATATAAAGGAGAATACAATTCCTCATTCAAAGTCGAGAAATTCTCAATTCTCCAGGTATAGCTTCGGGCACAATTTTCTTGCACAATGGACATAGTAGATATCTTAAAATGGTTGTTTATGACAAGAACCTCAGCACCAAATACACAGCAATCATCGACCAAAAAACCATAATCCGCATCACTGAATGTGGAAATCAAAAGGAATTTAGGGACTCCCCAAGTATCTTTCAATACATGGAATCGCCTCTCCCTTACATCTACATCAAGATTAACATCGACAAAGAAATGTGATCAATGTGCTTAATGAAGCAAAAAAATTAGAATACATAATATGAATCTTTGAGTTAAAAGGAAAAACAGTCCAAACCTAAGACAGAGAGATAGGCATCCCTGAGGTGATCATAAAGGAAAAACCGAAGCACCGCATCAACAAAGCTAGCAGGGTTGAGTTTATCAACCAATGTCACATAAACTGAGAGGTGATCTTCTCCTTGTTCTTGCTTGTTCCCTTTGGGATATACTGAGAGAACCCTGAGGCAAACATCGACACAACAATAATCAGGAGCCACATATAACTTGAACCCCCTAACAAGCTTCTCGTAGGAGACGATTCCGATCCAAAGGTCTGAAAGAGGAAATTCCCTGTTTCTCATAGTGAAGTGAGAAACAAATTCATAGAAGCATTTTCGTGAATAAATCAACAACTTTTTTATTCTTGTAGGCTCACAATTGAATAAAGTTGAATAAAATTGCTGGTATATTTACAAAAATGTTATTTCGAGAAACTTGGGCTCCCTCGTATGAAAGCATTCAGTTTTTACTCATATACATTACAAAGTACAATAACGGACAAAATTGGGGTATACCACTCACCATGTATAACCCCCTGCGCTAAATTCTGTTGATATAAGGCAATCTTTGTTAGATCTAGACTCATATAATGCATCTTGAACCTCAGAGAATGATTCAATTTTGAGAATGCAATGTGCTGGTGGTTTTTCTGTCCTGAGTCTCACTACTTCTGCAAATGAAAGTATTTAACATCTGTTTGGGTACTAAAATGGTCATACCCATTTTATTCTTGGGTAACTCTACCCATATAAGCCCAAAGGCCATAAAAAAGGTATAAAAGGCCCCAAATAAGTCAAATAAATATGGCCTTCAACGGCCCACATGTGTAATTTTAGGGCTCATAAACCCACTTATGTACTCATATAAATACCCCTCAAAGGGCATAAGGTAAAAGAAGGTCACTCTTATCATCTAAGAGGACCATACTCCTCCACTCTCTCCCCTAAACTCCTCTCAAAATATGCATTGTTTGGCAACTAACTTGGGCGTCGGAGGCTCCGCCCCGGGTTCAACCCCCGGGGCTCGGGGTTCATTTTGCAGGTCCATTCAAGGCCCAAATTCGAGGTTCTCAGACACCCCTTCAAGGCCCGGTTAGCTCATTTTTTGCCGAAACAACATCATTAAACAGTCACTAGTGCAAAGAACAGTACCGAAAGTTGAAATAAAAGTAAATAACAAAATACAAACATCACAAAGTGTAAGAGCAGTATGATATGTACCCCCATCTTCGTCCATAAGAAGTTTGCTATGCTTCAGAGGGAGGAGTTTATCTTCCATTGAAATATGATATTATAAATTGAATGAATGAAAGCAGGGTTCTCTTATTCCATAACTAAGATGATGCTAATATAATATGAATACTTCGAAGTATAAATAGAGGATTTGTTTCTTAGAAAAAAGTAAAAGTGTACGTTATGTTATAATTCATCATTAACCCCTCCAATTTAATAGTTTTAAGCAGATAGAATCAATAATTCATTAAAGTGTAAAAGTGATTGTTTGTGTCGCAAGTTTAGAATTAGTAATAATAGTACTCTATGTCTCCATATAAATAGTATCAATTTCTAGCCTTACATTTTTCCTGGTTTCATATTAGTTGATACCTTTTATTTAATTGCATTTGTCAATATATAACTTCAAACAATATAACATCTTTAATTACAAAAAATTATGAACTTTGATGTTTAGAAAATAAATGTCGGAATGAATAAAAAAAATCACTCAACTATGTTTTTTCTTAAAAATAAATCGCAAAATGAAGTCAAACTAACTTTGTATGTGAGTAGTGGTGAAAGTTAAAATGGTAAACTAAATTGAGATGAAGTATAGCTGTAAAGCTGTATAGTAGTTAAAAAATAAATTGCTTATGAGTTGTCTTGATAAATAAAGGTCATAAACTAGTTATTATTTGGTAAATGGAAAAAATAAATAAATAAACCATATGACCACGTGTGTAAGTCAATATCTATATATCTATATTACGAGTACTATATAAATACTGATACTTCACATAGTTGTAAACTACTGAAGTCACATAATTATCACGATCTCAAAGGAGAATCGATCTCCATACCATGATTAATTTGAGTACAAGAGTACAAGACATGTCTTCAAAACAATTGAACCGTCCTTATCATGTCAGGATACGAATTGAGCATCTCACACTCTCACAATATGAATTTCAACAATCACACACCAACATATTATAGTAATTTAAATAAAATGAACTCGAAAATGTTGAAACTGCTTCATCATACGTGAAGAATACTAACTGAGAATTCAAAACAGCAATCTAATACGTCAAGTTTCATGAAATGTTGTACCCTTGTGATATGCTTGCGTCAGTTGCTTTGCACATTTAAAATCACAGAATTGTTTTTTATTGGACATCACTTCTGCTAGACAGAAGCTATATTATCTTTCAACAAAATCAACTTCTGAATACGAACTTCAATGATTATGGTATCGTCTACTAGGTAGCTTTTTGAAGTATCATGTAGGTCACTGAGAGAATGAAAGTATGGGAACCCCCAATCGACTGAACTTGCATAAAACCAGGTACGCGCTGCCAAAAAAAAATAAAAAATTATAAATTCCAGAGGACACTAGCTAATTTTTTAAATAAGAAATAAGATGTTACATGTTAAAAGTTACGGCAATTTCATGAAATGCCACTTAGCACTTAAAAAATTCATGAAATGCCATCGTGTTTTCCAGAATCATTAATGGCATGGCATGACATTTTATTGTTTGTCAGTGACATTTGGTGAATTCTGGAAAACACGATGACATTTCATGAATTTTTTAAGTGCTCAATGGCATTTCATGAAATTGCCGTAAAAGTTATCTTACCTAGTCCATAGTAGTCTTTTCCTTGGCGTTGATTCTTCAAGTAAAGAATAAATTCAACATACAGTTTGTTACCATGAGTTAGCCCAGAACTATTTGTCTAGGTACAGAAATAATGAGAGGTATTTACCATCATCAGACTCTCCTCTAGGAAATAAGTGCAATTTCCTGAAATATTACAAATCAGAGAAAGTAATAAGCATTTTTATTTGAGTGAAATTTTCCACTTCTTATTTAAAGTAAGACTTAAATAAGTACAACATACCAAGACCATCCATCAAACCGAAATACAGGAGAATACAATCCAACATTCAAAGTCGAGAATTTCTCAATACTCCAGGTATATCTTCTGTCATCATTTTCTTCAACAATCGACATAGTAGATATCTTGAGTTGGTTGTTTAGGACAAGAACCTCGACACCAAATACACATACATCATTGACCAAATACCCATTTTTCGCATCATTGAATGTGGATATTGGAATAAATTTTAGGGACTCCCCATCTATCTTTCAAAGCATGAAATCGCCTCTCTTTTACATCTACATCAATATTAACATTGCAACTTATCAAGCACTAAAATTTAACTACTTAATTTAACAATAGTGTGATGATAATAAAGGGTACCTACCTAGACACCTTGTTTTCAAAGATTAACAATAGTGTGATTAATTGTTCTAAAAGAATTAATACCTCCGTTTCATATTCAAAATAGTGTGAGTGAAAATTGTATAATCGTTGCAAATAATATATATATAAAAGGAAGCTGTAAGCCTGTAAATACATAATATGAATATTTAATTCAGAAGAAAAGAGTCTGAACCTAAGACAGACAGATAGGTATCCCTTAGCTGATCATAAAGGTAAAAACGAAGCACCGCATCTACAAAGCTACCAGGTGTGAGTTTATCAACCAATGTCACATAAACAGAGAGGTGATCTTCTTCTTTTTCTTGCTTGTTCCCTTTAGAACGACTTACTGACAACACCCTGAGGCAAATGTCGACAGTCGACACCATGATAATCAGGCCTACAAGTTTTCAGTTAATGATAAAATCATACATGTACAACAATTGCATTGCGAATTGAGATATACATACCATGTATAGCCCCCAACGCTAAATTCCGTTGATTTAAAGTAATGATCTTTGTTAGAACCAAATCCAATCACATCTTGAAGCACAGAGAATGAATTGATTTTCAGAATGCAATGTGCTGGCGGTTTATCTGTCATTACTCTCACAACTTCTGCAGAAGACTTTACAGAACAAGTATTCATATGATATTTATACCCGAGATAAAAGATAAAAATACACATAAAAACAGAGTAGATGAGCAGTTTCAGAGGTCTGCTTCGCTTCAAAGGAAGTTGATTGACTTTATTCTCTTCCATCTTGGTTGCAGTACAACACAACAATTTCGAAAGTATGAATTTTATAATAATAGTAGCACAACTTCGACGAGATAGATAAGAATTTATATACGGAGGTATATGTTATACCTTAGATTTCGCGAAAAACTCTTATAGATTTAAGATATATAAAAATATATCATAAATCTGTGACTAATGTTATCTTGCTTTAATATTTATCACACCGTAGTCTTATCGGAAAAAAGGTTATACGTGTATATAAAAAGAACACGCTCCCTCAAAAAAAAAAAAAAAAAATAAGAACACGTAGAACCCTAATGTGACCCAAACAACCTTTTCTCCAACGAAGTATACTATTGCTAGGAATACTGTACTAGTGCTATTGGAGTAGTGTGTCCTTCGAATTTTTACATTGTTGTAGTGTGTCCCTCAAATTTTTACTTTGTTGTTTGAAACGAATGTCATATTTAGGCTCCGTTTGTTTTGAAGCCCATTTTTCGTTGTTTGGTTAGTAAATGATGGACGAAAAAAAATTCTCCTAAAGGTGGAAAATTAGTTCTTCACAATGCTTCATATGTGACCATGCATGTTTTATCAAGTCTATTATCCTAAATACTTCATTCTTCTCCATTACAGCTTTATAAGATACATTAACAACGACAAATCTCTGGTTATTTGGCACTGACATTTACACTAACAAATATCGAATTGAAGCATGTTGATACTTCTTCACATTGTTACAAACTACTGATGTCACATAGTATTCGTGTTCTCAAAGGAGAATCTCCATACTAGGCTATCATATTTAGGCTCCGTTTGTTCTGAAACCCATTGGAAAACAATTCTCAAAGGTGGAAAATCTTTACAATGCTTCATGCATGTATTAAGTAGTCTATTATCCTAAATGCTTCATTCTTCTCCATTACGGCTTTATAAGATACATTAACAAAGACAAATCGTTGGTTATTTGGCATTGACATTTACACTAACAAATATCGAAGCTTGTTGATACTTCTTCACATTGTTACAAACTACTGATGTCACATAGTATTCGTGATCTCAAAGGAGAATTGCCATATCAGGCTATGATAAATTTTGAGTACAGCACATGCCTTTATCATATCGGTTAGAAAATGAGCATCTCGCACACTTCAATCAATTAATCAAAGCCTTAATCCCATAAGTGGGGCTTCTAATATGAATTTCAAAAATCACATAACAACTTTGTAATTAACTGTATTTGTTTATAAATTAAAATAGTAAATAAAAAGGAAAGATATTGAAACACCTATGTTAATGTTGTAATGCTACCATTACATCAAGACGCATCAGTTGCTTTGCAAATTGCACTATTGAACCATTTCACATGGTATTAAGAACAATGAAATTAAATCGCGGAATTGTTTCTAGCTTGTTGGACATGCTTAAAGCTCTCCTTACTCCTATCTAGTTGACATCAGACTCCAGATCTCTCAGCAAAATCATCTTCTAAATATGAAGTTCAATAACTATAGTCTCGTCTGCTAAGTAGCCCTCTCAAGGATCATTTAGAACTATGAGAGAAAGAAAGCTTCTAAACCCCCAGTCGAAACAACTTGCAGAAAACCATTTATCAACTGCAATACAAAGAAACTAATAAATTATGTATGAATTAGATATTATGCCCTGAGGTAGAGCAGCCAGTAATAATTATCTTACCGGGTTGTTGGCAGTCTTGTCCTTGGCGTTGATTTTTTACGCGAAGAACATATTCAACATACAGTTTGTTACCATGAGTCAGTTTAGAGCTATTTTCAAGCTGCAGATACAATGAGAGTATTCTCCCTTCACATAAGAGTCCCCTTTTGGACGTAAATCCAATTTCCTGAAAATATACCGTACAAAGATGGCGAATCAAATCAAGAAAGTTGTTATCTGAATTAAAACACCCCTACTATAACGACGAAATTAACAATGAATACATACCATGACCAGCCATTAAAACGAATCTCTGGAGACATTAACCGTTCACTCAATGATTGGAAGCTTCAATTCTCCAAGTATAAACGAAACTTGCAGGAACAAAAATAATAAGAACAATGTTAAAAAAAAAAAAAAAAAAAAAATCATTATCAACGTCCCTTCGTAGCAATATAGGAAAAGACCAAATGTTGCATGAATATAGGAAAAGACCAAATGTTGCATGTTGTACGCTTATAGTTAACCTCATTGGTAACTTCATAATTTCATATAGAAAAATATCATTCGTAACCTCATTATATCTAATTTTGATTGGTAAACTATAATATGAAAATTAAAAATTAAAAAAATAAAAATAAAATAAAACAATATCAACCAACCACATGACCATGCATGTATTATTATCCTAAATGCTTCATTCTTCTCCATTACAGCTTTATAAAATACATTAACAAGGGCAAACCTTGGGTTTACACTAACAAATTTTGAAGCTTCTTGTTGATACTTCTTCACACTGTTACAAACTACTGATGTCACATAATATTTATATCTCAAAGGAGAATCTCCATACCATGATTAATTTTCAGTACAACACATGCCTTCAGAACAATGGCACTGCCCTTATCATGTCGAATTAGAAATTGACCATCTTTCGGATCCTGCCCTTTAAGCCTTCGTGTTTCTGGGTGCTCGTGTATTTTCGCCACCAAGAGCATCCCAAGCCTATGTACAACACGGTTGGTGTTTATATTTTAACTCACATTTAATATTCAAGGCATTGTTTGGCATACACCAAAGAAAGTTAACAAGCCTCCTAATTCCAAAAGCGGCCATTCATGATCTTTCAAGTAGCCCCAAGCTTCGCAAAAGCTACTCATGACCGATGACCATAAACAGCTACGTACTCCAACAAGGTAGCTTTTGTGTGTGCCAAACATAGCCTAATTCAGTATCTTCATTTGTTGTATGTGCTAAAACGCTATCCGAAATCTGAATCCCTGCGTAAGGGTAACTTTAATGGAAAGGTTGTATTGTTTCGTAATGTCACAGGGATGCATCACCATTAGATCCACCTCCTCTACGGCCTGCCGTTGTGTTCTTCAGTATCTGCATTTCACAACCACAAAAGCATATGAAAATCTCCATGTGAAAGAAGTTTGGTCCATCTGATACTGATAAGAAGCAAACATAGACAGTCATATTTACTGGCTTTACATCCAAAAAACAGGATAAAGATAATCTGATTGTTCTCTTTTGTCTTTATACCCCAAAAAACACTGGATCACATGTGGCTGTATTTTTTTGTACTTGTATACAAAAAAAGCAAGCTAAGAAAGTTTATCACAGTTTGCTCTTTTTAGCTATAAAAATATACGTAATAACTCTAATGAGGACCAGCAAGTTCAGATAAGATCAACTTAGCCACGAGGAGTTGTAGGAAGAGCTCAAGTGCCACTAAGGAGAAAATACAAGATTATCACTTATCAAACGACAAAAATGGAAATTAATTAATAACTTTTCATTAAACATAGGCCCCAGATGTATTGATACACTTACAATTTTGCCACTTAACTGGGGCTTCCTCGCTGCTAAGTTCAAATAATGGTTTTAAGATGATAAAGAACAGCTAAATGGTTCATATTCTCACTATTCATAATCCTCATCATAAATAATCTAAATACAGTTATATCAAAGCCATTATATCTCATATATTCAACAAATTCTTGCAAATGAGTGAAATGACATTTATCTCTTACGCAGTCCTCAAAAATAACAGTTAACAGCATCAGTGTTTGGGTTATTTACAAATACAGTATACACATGCAAAGCTTTACTACTGAAGTGAGAATAACTGAAATCACAGTAGGCAAAGAATTATATAAAATGCCACATGTACACAGCTAAGGCCTTGCTCTCTTTGAATTATTTAGACAGACTTCAGGCAAAATGTATACAGATAAGTTCAGAAGTATAAGTTTAAAGTTTTGTAACACAATCACATGTTTAGCAAATTTCAGATGAATCAGATCAATAAGTTAATTTTAGACAATTAGTCAAATACAATAGTCCCTAATGTGCACAAACCTCCCATTATAGCACATACTAGCCTATGTAAGTCACTTAGTCATATTAATTGCTTATTAGCAAATTAAAATGCATAAATTAGCATACAGACGTGGAAAGCTACTAAGTAAATCCTGGTTCATGATCATTTACATTATCCTGGTTCATGACTTCATGATCATACACTGCCAAAGTGCATTGGATAGCCAAATACCTTAAGACCATCCCTCCACCCCACGGTCCCACCACAAGCAGAACAAAGAAAGCAAATTGCACATTATGCAAAACTGAGCCAACCCAACATGTTATTTCATTGAATCCATGTGATGCATCTACACAATAATGGCGGCCAAAGCTAAAATAGATGATAATGGAGATAGTGGCAGTGGGCCCCATGAATGAATATATCATATCATGAATGACATCCATATCCTTAAATGTTAAAAATGGGCCTTTTGTCTTAATTTATCATCCCTACAGGAGCATTCGGCTCAATGGACCATTTCATATATCCTTGACATATGTAACTATGTAAGGGTGTTTTGAGATTATCTTGACCTGGTTTGATTCTATTATGAGTTAATGAGTTATTATCTAGTCTCCGAGATAGGTTAGGTTTCACTCCTCGGCCCAAAGCAGGTTACCGGTCCTTACCATTCTCAATCTGACGCTATTGGAATGCCAAAACTGTCCCTAACAATAAAGATATATGGCATAGGTTTGTAACCACCATATAACATCAATATCACACCACCATATAACATCAATATCACATATATTCTTTGAGGGGGGTAATGAGATGATGCTGACCATATTCTGTTAGATGACAATAACTGCAAATATGCAACTTACAGATTGTGACAACGACTCACCCTATTTCGAAACAAATGTTCAAAAGGTATCATTTACACACAATTACGTAAGTGACCGATAAAGACAATATTGTTGCATCATAATTTAGCCCAAGCAATTAATACTACATTGATATTAAACACAACAAGTGTTATGACAGCAAAAGGTGATTAAAAAGTAACACGGTGTACCAATAATTTTAGACACAATATTAGCCAAAAAACATGTATTGCAAGTAATCGAACTTACATGTCTAAGCATCTGATTCTCATTTTGCAAAGTAGATAATCTCTCTTCCAACTCAGAGTTTTTGTTCTCCAAGTCTTTAACCCTTGTTTCTAAATCACTCAAATATGCCTTCTTTCTTTCTCTTGCTTGCTGAGCTGAAACTCTATTCCTCAACAACCTGCCCATATCAAATAAATCACCACTTTAACCCCGTAATCCTCAACAGTAAATCATCAATTAACCTCAATACCTCATATTTTTACCATTAGAATTTCCAAAATGTCCTAATTTACCAAATTGAAAAGCAATTGAAAGGATATAAAAAATTAAAAATTGCAACTTTAGTTTTACCTCTTCAAACGTTTGCTTTCTTTGTCAGCAGGGCTTCTACCCCTCTTCCTTTGGCTCTGTCCTGATGCTTGAACCCGGTCTGGACCGGCTGCAGAACTGGTGTCGCGGCCAGAAGCTGAATTTACTCCTGGTTCACCTCCCATCTCTGGTACTCTCCGGATTTCATCATCACTCTCCACACCTAACATCAAAACAAACACCAAAAACAGTGAAAATTTTGAACTCCAAAATTTTTTTTTTATAAAAAAAAAAAAATGCTCCAATTCCCAAGATATTATAGCCTGCCCTGGAAATTCTAATCGATCCAATTGAGAAGCTCTCAAAACTTCTTCAATTTTCTACTAGTACACTTCCAAATTCTTAATACTCACTCTTTTATATATTTTCATTTATTCTAGTATTACTTTTATAAATATTTCTGCAAGAAAAAACATAAGCATATCGGGTCTAATTATGATCCTAGTTTTAAATTATGAACTTGTTTATAATTTTTATTAATACATGATCAAAGATATCGATATGTGAATAAAAAATCAACTAAATCACATTGTTAAAACCATGAATTTCTTCAATTCCACATTAATTAAATAAGAAAGTTCACAACTTTATCTTAAATCTGCCACCTTGGACAATTCCAACAGAGAATTCAATTAAACATGTAACAATAAACTAACAAGACATGTGATCGAATCCCGTCTACATCATTACCCTTTTCAGCTCTTCTACCAAAAAAATTTTAATTAAAAAACAAATTTCACACCTAAAACAACAGCTATAACTTATTCAAAAATCAAAATTCACATTAAATTTCATGAACAAAAATCAATTGGGTAGTCAATTTTCCTCTACCCAAAATCTCAACTTTTTTAAAATTCCCAAATAAAATAAACTTGAATTTCACCAATTAAATCAAATGGGTATTCAAATATATTAAAAAAAAAAAATTCGATGCCAAAATTCTAGAAATAAAAAATTAAATTTGAAATTAAAAACAAATAAATAAAACTAACCTTCTTTATGATCAAGTTGAAGGGCAGAGCCAGAAGATCTCTCACTACTAGAAGGCAAAGAATTAGCAGCAGCAGAAGTAGCACTTGTTGTAGCCTGTTCTTGCATATTTTCCAACGTTTTTAATAATACAAATTTATTAATTCTAATTTTAATTATAATAAAATGATGTAATCAAATTAAATTAAATTAATAAAATAAAAAGTGTTTTTGTTATCCTCTGATTTTCCTTCTTCTTTCTTGACTTCATCTGTATTTTTTGGAAAGAGAAAAGGCGGGATATTTCCAGAGTTTACTCAAAAGAGTAATAACATTTGGGAAGATGGAGGAGATACTGAATCTGAGCCGTTGGATGAGGGTGTTCTTGATCAACGGTGGAGAAAGAAGGAACGTGGAGGTTATATAGCCATACACACATTTAAGTAATCAAAGGTTTGAAGAAGAGGATCGTGGATGTTTTAGAACCGTTGATTTGGAGAGAGGAAGGGAGGAAATCAAGGGTTGTGATTGATTTGTGAATATTATTATTTTTATTTTTTTTGAGATGTGGAATAATAATAATGGGATGATTTTCTGACGTGGACATGTGCTGGTTGAAAAGGGTATGAAGCCATGGAGGACAGAATACAAATTGACTTTGGGTTTTTTTGGGACATGTTGTTTATGAAATTACAAAATTAACCTTATTAAATTGTGATGAATTTGGTTGTTGAATGTTGAGGGACAAGGGCAAACTCATTGGAACTTTTATTCTTGGATGATGACAATAACTAGACATACCATGAGTCCATGAGCAATTGAGCATGAAAAATGAGAAGAAATTAATAAAATTTATTTTAAAAAAATGAAAATATTGAGAAAGAAAATAATTTTTTTTACTCTTTACGGAGATTTTTGTTTTTTTTTTTTTTTTGGAGGTAAGATAAAGGATCCTATCAGACCGACACTTCACATGAGTCAACCCGACCCCATTTAGCGGATTAGACAATTTGGGAAAGTGGGGGGAAGGTAAGAGAATCTCATCCTCAAAATTATCTGTAACGCCTCAACTTCTCGTACCTTAATTGGCGTTACTGGACCATACTTAACTCGTCATTCGCAGCGGAATTTATCATAATCATAATCTTATAACCTGTGGGTTATGGACCCACAAATAAACATACTCCTTAATCAGAAACATTCCTTTAAAATAATATAACTTCTAGAAATAAAATTAATCTATCTCTCGATAGAACATTATCCATGATACATAAACTCTTGGCTCTGGTTGTGTAATTCCTCAATAATATAAATTCCCTTAATCCCTTTGCCTTTGACTAACTTGAGCTCCATCATCATCATACATCATACCTGTGTATGTCCATAAAAATAGAAAACAGAGAAAACACAGGAAAATTCCAAAAATGAGTGGAAAACTCAATAACATTACTCTACCCCGTAAAACAGTTTATTTTTCAAAATCATTTGAGCACATATCATATATAGATATTTGTTCATAAATAACTTAATATCATTATCTTTAAACTTGTGTTAGCAAGGATCATTCCCTTTACATAGGACTATTGGTAAGTACAGGTTTTAGACATAACATAACTTTCATTCGTGAGGGATTAATTCCCCATTTCATTAACGTACTTTCCTCCACCTGTAACTCACCCATTTACCACATTCAGTTCATTTTTCAATGCCGACAAAAATAACATCATATCATATTAAATCATTTCTGAACAACTTTATACCTCATTTAAATACATAAGCACATTTCATAATCATTCATTCATAACAACATTTCATAATCATCATGATCGTTAAACATTTAACAAAGGTAGGACGTCTCCTACTATAGGGGGAGCCAGTGCTCCTTACAGGGGAAGCCATTGCTTAATCATATCATATTATATTTACAATTCCTTATTAAAGATCATATATCATATCATTTGCACATAACATACTTTTAAATCATAATTTACCAAACATATACGAGCATACACACGGCCACATACTCATAATTGCTAGACATAATTGGGGATTGAACTTTAAAAGGCGTTCTCTTTTCCACTAGATCAAGCTTAGCTTGGTAATCTTTTACAGAGCATTAAAGGAGGACTTATTGTATGTTGTTGCATTGCTTGAATGTTTATTTGAATTTGTATGTTTAATAACTTTAATTAACTTGTTATAATCAAATGGTTAAATAGGTTCTAAGGGTGCCAATCAGAAATGTTGCAAATTTGGACAATTAATTTTGCTCAAGTGTATTCGTGTTAACGAACGGGATATATGTAACATGCCCGTTTAAAAAAAAAGTTGTATAAGACAAAATACAAGTAGGTCTCAAGATGTATACAATTGGTCTAACATACTATACCCACCTAATTCTCTACCGACTACCTTAGAGGTACTCATGGATTAAACCAACATAGATAGGAATTGGGCCAAGGTCATATGATCAAACATTTTAAGTATCATCGTCTTCCATTTCCTCATATTCTTAATAATCTGGAAACCTTAAATTTCAAAGAATTCTTATTTCAAGAACCTTTAATAACATTATGCTGAGACAACTTAAAAGATCTCGAAAATACTCTATTTCACTCTCATTTCTAGTTCAAATTATGTATCAGTTCTTGTGGACTCTTCACAAGTCACAACCATTGCATCATTTCAAACCAGTACCCGATTGTGAAGCAGCAGCAAATCGGGAAGTTGAGATTTATAATTATACTCGTATCTGACTATGAAACCAAAATTTGCAACATTGACAGGATTGGGAGCCAAATATCAAGCATTACAAACGCTGTAATATGTTCACCCTATAGTACTAGTATTTATCACCAAGTAATTCATAGTGATACAGATATCATGTTCACATATCAGTTCTTCCTGCATTTGATCTGATCTCAATAAGCAAACTGGAGAGCGCCTCCCGTTGCACATCTTATCAAGCTAACATGGTCACTCTCCCAAAGTTGCAGGAGAACTGAGCGCATAAGCTCACTCCAAAAAAGGGTCTTGCTCCGCCATATAAGTATTGTGGCTCAGGTCCATATGAATAGTGTTCAATCTGTAACAAGCATTATAAACAACCATGATATCATTTTTTTTTTCCTTTTTCTTACTAGGCAGATAATAATGGCAACGGTAAAGGGTATATGTTGTAGCAGAAAATCTGTTTGGTGTTTAGGTCATCATTACAGTATCAATTCATTTAGATCTCAACTAAGCCTGATACGAGTATATTCAATAAACACTAAGATCAGAAAAAACAGCATGACATATACCTGTCTGAAAGGACTGAAACAAAACATACATTGCAGTTTCTGAGCAAGGTTGAAGTTAAAAATGCTATGCATCTTCATCAATAAGAATGATTGATTCATTTCCAACTCCAACATCAAGCAAGGAATCCATTTCATTATCAAGAAGTATTGGTAACGGTGAGCCCTGCAAGGGAAGCACATGCATGTGGTAAGAAATTTTAACTGTCACAGAAGTAAACATTGCAGATGTCTAGATAGAGAACAACTAGATGGTGGATAAAAATAATCAGCTAGCTACTAGCCAAGTTAAAAGGGAATTTGTGCAAATTTTCTTTTCAGATCATACATCACAAGTTATGGACTAACATGCAGCAACTAAATGTGATGAAATTCAGCTAAAAATACTTTGGTGTCTAAAACTCCTTTCTCTTGATCACTTGCATTAACAACATAGTTCATTGGAAAGTGTCATTAAACTATTTTATGCGAATTTGCCTTAGTAGTATCTTACATTCACGTTTTACATACAACAATAGCAATCACATGACCGCTTAATATGGATCCTGCAGCTGGCAGGTTCAGGTGAATATAAGATATATGCTAACATGCGTCATGATGCAGAACTAGTACAATTACATTGGTACATAGATGAGCTATCACCTACAATATTTAAAAGAGGTTATTTTCAAACTTAAGCAGATTACATCTATCAACGACCAAAAAGAAACAAATAGGGCATCACTTAACCCTCTAAATTCTGTCCAAGGGATTAACTTTTCAATTTTTAAAATTTTAAAGTCGAACATTGCTATCAAATCCACAATATCTGTGAGGTGAAAGCGTATAGAGCTTGAAGACCATTTAGTACCTCTTCTTGCAAAAACAGCTTTAACTTGATGGACTTCAACTTGAAGAATGTCTCACAAAGAATTTTCAGCTTGCCAACCTTGCAATAGCAAAACGAATGAGAAGTTATGTCAACTGTCAATGTTACCTATAGAATGAACCAAAACAAAGAGAATGGTAATCCTCTGTACGCTGCAACTGAAATCCAACACATGGATCTGCATTCAACTCTTTGACAAGGAGAAAGAAGGAAGGTCACCAGTTCATCAAAAAAATAAAGGTGAAACAAATTACAGTAGTAGTAGCTGGCAACTTTTTAGTCAATGGTGGCTTCTCTCCCATTGATGCCCCAACACACTTCAGAGTGACACCTGCCAAGTTAAAATGTGTGTAAGTGACAAGAAAGGCATCTAAATAGCATACTTCAAACCAATAGATCACAAGTTCATATACATACTAAGAAGTCCAGAGCTCATTTTTTGAGGTCCTTTTGCTCCATTAGACGGCCTCTCATCTTCTAATCCGTGCAAACGTTTGAGTTCATGAAAGCTGTAATATATATAATAAAAGAAGTTTTATCAGATTATACATCCAAAACTATCGTTCTCATAGCAGCATCTACAAATCCTTACGTGTTCTGCATATCTCAATTTTAAAAACATAAATGATAGATTAGAGAGCACTATCATCAAAGAAACCAGGAGTCGAGCAACAACAACAAAAAAATACAATTATTTTAATTGAACCCAATTAAAATTTACAAACTCATTTTTAGCCAAATAACTGCAAAGAAACTTCACTGCATACTTTGTTTTACTCATTGTCATAGTGAAAGGAGCCACTTTGCTAATAGAAGCAAAAGGAGAGGATTAAAGTATTAAACAAGAACTTACTAGACCAAGAGATGGAAGTAGTCTAAGAAACAGTGGCAAAAAGGGAAATACTCGATCAAAGAAACAAATGTAAAACCTCCAAATCTTGAAAGGCATAATCTAGCAGAACATGGAAGAAAATAGACTGAGTCATGGAATCAGAAATTCACAAATTTGTTCATTTCCTTACAGTTTGGCCAACAGAGTTACTATCCAGGCTTTCATGTGTAAACTTCTGGTGCTGTGGCCAGAGTGGAATGATAGGATAATCGACAATAGCCGCACAGGGAGTGTGTTTTAAGTCAGAGCTTCACCCTGTCAAGGATGTAATGAAATGTGTTCTGATTGGAATAACAATTATCTTTTGTGATTTTGTAAAAACATTATTACAAGATGCAGAGTAGTATAAAGGCATTGTTTTTCCTGTAGCCCAAATGGGCGACGCCCTCTTGGTCTCTTATCACCAAGTTAACATCTTTCATCTCAAAAAAGATGTCTCCATAGACTTTTGACAAAGTTGAAAATTAACTAATCTTGTTGATGTATTATGCCAATGTTAGAGATATACTGAATCATGTTTCATTTCAATCATTAATCTAGGAAAACAGCAAGGGTTGTATACTTGTATGAGAAGTTGACCAAAATAAGCAATGACTTTAATCTATCGGCTCTTAGCTAAGTGGACATGTTATGAGGACATTTCAAATAGGAATAGTAGGCATTTTGTGAGTTGAGAAGAGCACACGTGCGTGCACACACACATTAACTTGTTGTTAGTTTAAGAAAAGATTG